TTCTGTTAGACCTCTGTCCCGATGACGCGTCACGCAGAGATCTACTAGAATCAGTGTCTGCATCCCGCAGCAACAGAATGCGGCGTCTTCTCTTCCAGCTCACTGGGCACGATCTCAACCTCCCGACTCAGGATATTGTCGTCTCCTGGATGGTCCTTCGTGTCTTGGCCTTTTCTAGTGTATGGGCTGTGGTATACTCCTTCGCACAGTCTCGTGTAGATCATCCGTTACTTCGCTGGGCTGTGCACGCCATGATGGACTGTAAACTAGCGTTCCGTTTCGCTATGTCTTTGCTGGAGAACCTTGGAGAACCGATCAACGCTCCTCTAGTGATTCTCCTTGTAAAATTGGCTGTCTCTTTGGAGGATGTGATGTATCAAGGTGCGTGATCGTCATCGTCTTCATGACGACGTCTAATTATGACATGTTTGCGTCGTACATAGAGCTGTCCTTGCATAACTTTGTTGTTGACGGCCGAAGCTCACCGAAGCCTGCCCGTCAACTCGGAGACAACATACTGCGACACCTGACGCTGGACCCCATCTTTGAAACGATAGCATCGGTAGAAGGGCAAGGAGATTTCTTTGACAATTTCTTCACCTTCACAGTTTGTACGTGACAAACGCTTTTACCGACGCGTTCTTCACCCTAACGAATTCGCGCTCGACATTTGTATTTAGGAATCGTCATAAGAGCCATGACCTGTACTTTTTGTGTGTTTTTTTTCTAACGGTGCGCATTTATTGCTTTTGTTTCAAGACTCGCTCTCACTTATTCTATATTATAGTCGATCGAATGTCGCGACTTCTCGGATTCAATCTGAATCAGGTGTTCGGATTCAGTCGTGGACGGGTGTCTCATAGTAACTGTTGTGTCCTATTAAGTAAATGGGCTGCCACTTGTTTGCAATTATTACAACCCATGTATACTCCCACCGCCGCCGAATTGCATGAAGCGATAGCAGCTGCGCATGCTATGACTCTGCTTGGCAAGGCTGGTGGACTGCGAGAGAATGTCAAAAACGCGCATCCAGACTGGTTGGTTTCTTCTAAGGTCGGTTCTCTCTGCTTGACCGACCTCCCTTCGTACTGAGGTCGTTCCATCGTAGAGGATCCATCAAGTTTGCCAGCGCAGCGATTCCTCGACACCTCATGCAAAGGACGATGATGACGGTACCGCCTGGAACGGCCTTATTATCCATCCCGACATCCACGCCCACGATGCCCTTTCATCAGTCCAATCGCTTCTCTATCACATTGACCCATGTCATGTTGATTTCACCACCGATGGAGCCATCGACAAGGCTTGCTTACGAGATTTGCTGGACAGCGAAGGTGGACAACCTCTCTTGAACTTCTACGACCGCGATGAACAAGAATACCGGTGGTATTACTCGGCGTACGCTGCTCCTTCGGCTTCTACAAAGCTCCATAACTCCGTTATGTCGTCTATTGCCGAGGATGCGGTGACAGGAAGAGTGCTAGTAGTACTGGATGGGCCGAAAGGTGGAGCCTGGATGGACTCTGCTGCCATTAGTTCTGAGAGGCTGGCAAGGACCATTTGGTGGTACAAACAATCTGGGTCAAACGTCGTGGAAATCTTCGGAGAGAGGGAGTTGCGGCGGTTCGTTCTGTCGTTGTACGCGTAGTGTCGCCACCTCAGCGTGGGAATGTGGCCCGCAGGCGTTTTCTGTGGTCACGTCTACTTGTGCTGCCTCCATTCGTACCGGCACACCATGTCTGTCAGGACCCTAGTCGACGTACTCAAGTTCTTGGCTCCTCTGTTTTCCATTCCCGAAATTACAACTTGGATGTCTGTATCTCGCGAAATGAGAACAGCTGCACGGCGGGCATGTTTATACCGGTTACGCGCGCACCTCAGTCCTTGGTTTCCTGATCACTCTCATTTTGTTGAATTCCTGGCGATGCTTCATGACACAGAAGCCGTCGTTACTGGTAGCATCATCCCCCGCTTTCTGCTCGATGATCAAAATCAATACATCCCCGTATCTCTCGACATTGTTTGTCCCGGATTCATCAGCGACGCCCCTGATATCGCGCACAAATTCGTCATTAAGATCGGAGGGGAGGAAACGAGTCCGGGGTTCGGAAATGATAACATGGAGGAGGTAGAGGGTATCGTGGAGGAACGTGCTTACAACCTCTACACGGAGAACATATGGTGTGGCCGCTCTATCCGTCTCTTTCTATCATCAGGCTCTCGACCATCTGCTGCTGTTCCTTGGACATGGTCCACTCACCTCGTCAACTACATGACCTGCGATGGCCTGGTCGTGGCTTATCCTAAAACGACCTTTGATCGGGTCGGTCTTATTCCCCCTCACCGGCGTCATTCGCTCCCGCCCCCCCGCATCCTCGTTCGAACCGCGCGCCACCCATTCCTAGTTCAAGATATGCCGGCAACCGAACGTTCACCCGGCAATGTGCTCCCCGCAGCATACTGTGCCGATACAGCGCGCTCTTTTGCGGATGCAGCCTGCTTCAAACTCGTCTGGAGCCGTAGTGTAGTCATGCCTTTGAGAGGAGCGGACGGTTTGATTGCAGACATGGACCTCGGTGCACTTGTGGGATGGCAATATAGTTCGTCTGATCCCCTTTCTCCCTCCTTTCCGTACATCTCGCCCCTTTCCATGCATCGCTCTGACTTCATTTCTTGTACGTCTCTCCCTTCCCCCAGGGTCTCGTCCTCCTGTTGATCTTGCGCCAATGACCCGCAGAGAGCTCCTGGATGGTCTATGACTTTAGGCGCTCCTTATCGTTGTGACTCCTGTACCCTTTAATGTCGCCGTGGTCCGCCAAAAAAAATTGCGCATAAAATTGTGTTTCCTCCTATCCCTATAGGAGGCACTCGGCCCCTCTACGTGGATACGCCTAGAGCGCGGCGACTTTGCCTGCATTTTTTTGGGTGCTCACTGTCCACTCGCTGTTTTTCGCCGGTCATCGGATCTGTGCTCTTTCTTTCTTCCGGGCGTGTTCGATTGCTTATTGTGCAAGGTGTCTTTGGCATTTTCGGCCCTTTTGCTTAAGGTCCGTATCTTCCTGTTCCATCTCTACTCACGTCTCCCCCTCCAGCTCACGATTTAACCTTCACTATGTCGTCTCCGGTAGCGCACTCTGCCCGTGAGTAGTCCAATGTCTTGTAATCGCTCTACTAACATGATTATGGCATCGTAGTTCTGTTCGCTACATTCGAAGGCTACACAAACCCCCGCATACATCTCGCGGGTAATCGAGGCTTGGACGTCCTCTTGATCGAGAGAATATTTGCGCATGTACCCATTCCCACGTTGTGGTCGACGCGGCTTGCTTCCAAGTTCTGGTACTACGCTGTCAAGAACTATCTACGCCGCAAACATACACAGCTTCTCCGGAAGTACGTAGACGACGAGGAGGCCTTTCGCTCTCTCATGCGGCGCTCCGGTACGATCATTTCCGGCTCAGAAGCACTCGACTTCGTCCTCCACGGCACATCATGTCCCCCGGTACACGCTCACGACATGGACATCTACGCGAACTCTCTATATGCTCTTTCCATTGTATTGCACCTCCGTGACCTGGAGGGGTATCGCGTCATTGTGGAGAGACGACTGTCAGGGCTCGGCGAGCTTATCGGAGACTACGGCGCAGGTGTGGTATCTGTCACAACACTTGTGAATGTCGGACGTGGGACGAAGCTTCAAGTTGTCTGCGTCGCTAGATTGTCGGCGGTGCACCAAATATCGCTTTTCTGGTCTACGCTCGTCATGAACTTCTTAACCGCGGACGGGTTTTCGATGGCATACCCGTCGTTGACCCTTCACGGAATTGGTGAGACCTTTCTGACATTTTCCCGTTCATTAGTTAATATCCCTTCGATGGGTACGTTGTAGGGCTCGTTTCTACTATCAGCAACTCCGGTATCAGCAAAAACGCGTGTATTGCGAAATACATCGACCGCGGCTTTACTATAGTTGGCTTCGAGGGTAACGCAGTAAGTTCTATCCAACCGTGATGCCCACCCTCGCTCATCTTTTGTAGCCGACGTCTACAGAGATGCTGTCTACCCATGGGAGCCTCCAGGTCCGTCGCCTGCTCGAAAAGGTCTTCTTTTTTCGGTCGTCTTTATTGAACATCTCTACTTAGGTATCGAACGACTGGGGTCATCCGACGGAGATGACTAAATGGAATTGTCCAGACATTATTCGCTGTTGGACAGATGCCGGTTGTTTGCGAATGTCCTTTGCGGATAAGACAGTCGGTGGTCCTTGGTGGACGAAGCCTTTTACTTCGTGGTTATATGGTGGTAAAGCATGCGGCGGGGGGTGCGAACCCGATACCGAACCCGTTCTTTGGGTGAGGGGTGAAATTGTTGAATAGCCTTCTTGTATGGCGGTGGCGTAATACCGTATCGTTAATGTCCATATATTCTTCTTGGTACTTGCCCTTCTTTATGGCGAAATCTCTGCGTTCCAATCGGGGAACTGTGCGCACTCGATCAAGTAGTGAATGGCAGGTGTATTCGGTTATGTGTGTGTCAGCAATGTGACAGTGAATCCTTTTGCCTTACGGCGCCGGTTCAGTCGTCTACGCCTTCGCCTGGGTCTTTCGATCGTGTGTAACAATTTTCCGAGGCTGTGAGCACTTTTATGAGACTACCGCCGTGTCATTTTTGGTGTCCGCCCGCCAGCCTTTTCTTTTTCACCTAACAGGAGCTCAGCGAAACAATGGTCCGCATACCTAAGTCCCGTTGGACCTCCAGAGTATATTACGCAGTATTTATCTACTCTGTTGTGATGTTCTACCCTTTGTGAGTCCTCTATGTCGCGTCCCCAATGTACGTTTCCCCGTGGTCTTCTGAGATTGTTGCGTTCTTATTTAGTGCCATTTCGTTGGGCTCTAGATAACGGTCAGCCTCTCTGTCTCGTGGACACCACCGACTTTAGCGGTGAATGGGCTGTCCCTGCTGACCCGGCCATGCGGCGCTTGCCTGAGGAAGACGACGACGTCTGGGCTTTTATATCCCTGAGCCTATCTACAGGGAATTTGTTCGTCCAGAGCTTTCCATTCGTCATCACCAATCACACGGGTCAACCTCTCTCTATACGCGTTCAGGGAGTCGCAGCCGACTGGTCTCTTGATCTTACTGGAGACTTAAATTGGTGCGTGTGTTGTACATGATTCTCCCCAGAATTGTTCTTCCTTATATTCACTCCACTCACACCATCATGTACAGCGCCCCCGTGTCACAGCGAAGGCGGTGGAACCCAGTCTTGTTTCTTCGCCTCACCTCGGGTTATGACGGTTGGGACGACACATTTCGGTGCCAGATGGATGCTCTGGCGACTGTCATACGCGCTGTCTTTCGACACCTCGGCCTCCCTCCCCCCTCTGCGCTGAATTCGTTGCCCCAAACTCTTACAATCCGCAGAAGGGTGTACCAACCCAATGGCGAGCTGTTCGAGCGGCCTTCATTCCAATTTCTAGGTCCTGATCAGGTGGTGAGGCCTTGGAGACGTACGAGTCTTATGATGGGCGATGTTCTGGATGTAGCGATATATCCGGAAGTCGTGCTTTTGCAAGGGGAGGACGGTTTACCGAGAACCTCTGTCTTTTTCTCATTCACGAACGTGGTGCGGGTCAAGCGTCGTATCGATCTTGTCAGGGTGTGTATTTCGCTTATATCTTGCATTTGCAAATCTCATTGTTCGTGTAGGAAGGTATGGGCCAATATCGCCCTCCGTTCATCAGACGCCGCAATGATTACAGAAGCGACGGGAATATGGGACACACGGTTCACACCTCAGTAGACAACGGTGGTACGTTATCTTGTTATTTTGTGCATTGCTTTATTAATCTCGGTTCGCAGACGAGTCGCCCACTGAAGATATACTCAGACTTGTTCGCGATGGGGAACATAATGGCCAGATCCCCCGACGGGGACGACGAAAGCTCAATGGAAGAATCAGACGACGGATCCTCCATTTGACAGCGTGGATGGTCT